CTGAACTGGGGTTTACTGATGTTTGTCAGGAAAGAACATTTTGTTTTCCAGCAATAGCAAATGCCAAAGACCTATAACGTCTGTCCTAGAAATAAGCAGAACATGCAGGCTATCACAGTTCCTCTGGCCACATTCTGGACCTTCTGAAGTTATTCTGGCTTCAGATAAGCGCGTGCTTACAACAAAAGTGTTCTATGTAGGACATCAGACAAAGTGTCTGCTAATTACATCTTTTCTGGCCTTCTGATCTGGTGGTTATTCCCTTTACTCTGTTTTCTGCAATAAAATCTACTACCAGCTGCCTGCACACCCCACCCCTTCTTAATGATATTTTTCTTGTGGGAGTTACACCCATTTTAGCACTTTTCACTCCCCAAACCCGTCTGAACATGCTAGGATCCTCACTTCACTGAGCAAAGAAAAAAGAGAGGAGAGGTGACATGCTAAGAGGGCTGGCAGAGTGCTCCAGCCTCTCACCATCCTTCTCCCCTCCAGCAGGCCAGAGGACCTGGGTGCTAGTGACTGACACCAAGCCTCTTCCCTAGAGAGTGGAATGGCCAGGTCTGGTCACCCGCGCTGCTGGGATGGATGAGTGTGCTCTGGCCGCTCACCAAGTCGATGAGGTGTGTGGTGACAGAGCAGTCGGGGATGCGGATGGCAATGCTCTGCGGGGTACCGACGTATTTAGCGGAGTCCTTCATTCCCAGGAAGTCCACCCATTCTCCTGCACAAGGAAGAGTCACACAGCACTTATGGCCGTACATCAGTCCAAACGCAATGACCTTACCAGAAATATCACCACGGAGCATGTGGCGTTGCACGGTTGTGTGACTTAAACTTGGAGTTTCAAAAGCCAAAGCTCTCCAGAGAGCTTGGAAGTAACAGCATTTCCTCACCTCTGGGAACCACCAAGCTAATAGGAGATGGCCAGGCAGCCTCCATGAAGTCCCAGAGCAGGGGATTGAACAAATGCTTTGCAGGTTCCAGTTGCCTTAGGCTAGAAATCCAGAGTGACATGGGGCGATCCTGAGCCTGGCGCTTGGAGCTGGAAAGGAGGCAAGAAAAATGAGCCTGGAAGTAAGATGGGGATTTATTTTCAAGCTGAAAAGGAAATTGTGTTGGTGAGGCCTAGAGCTAAGACAAGGTGTGTAGGCTCTGTCCCAGGTCACCAGTCTGTAGTAAAAGTAGGACTGCTCAACAGATTACCTGACAGGAAGGGACATTAATGACTATTTCCAATCAGGAATGTCTACTCCAAATCAAGGTTTTAGCCTCTTGCGTAGTGATGGGTAGAAGTCCCAATTGCCCAAGTTCTGAGGAAACCCCATCAATATGAGGGGTCCCAGCTGCTTACAGAAGTACAGCTAGAGGCATTCGTTAAACACGAGAGGGATTTTGGCTGTGACAATATGTACCTACAAATATGTACAGTAATCCCCTGCCCCATTTGCCACTTCTTTGGGTTTCCTTGTGATATCCAAGCTACCTGGCTCCATCACCTGCCAGGAGCCTTCAATACCTTAGAGGACAATTCCAGCTCAACTGTCTCCTTTCCCCATTCGGATCTTCTCCCCCAAGCTCATCGCCTTATTGTTCCCGTGAGGGCTAAGCTATGTGTCTCATTGCTCTCGATGGTTGCTGTAGCCAGTACTCAGTAGCAGCTATAAGTTCTAGAGGCTTCTTTAGACCAGCCAAGGAAGCCCTCACTGGGGCAGCAAGGCAAATACTTACTGGTGAGCTTTCTCCACAGCATCAGGCCGATGACAGGCTGCCACAAGCACATACACAGTATCTGTGGGGATGCCGCAAGTCCCTCCATTCTTCAGGATATCTGTTGGCATGTGAACAGGGCAGAACCCCTTGAGTGACTAGAAGTGAGGGGCTGTAATTCACGGAAGAGCTGTCACAGACAAAACAGCCAATGTGGTGCTCTCATCTCCTTTTCCCAACTAACAAAGCATTTCCTCTGACAGTGCATTTTCTAGCATTCATCCAAGAGGAGATCTGGCATTTAGGGGAGTTCTGGGCCACGTTCTTCAGGGCCAGAAGTCATTCAGCCCTGTGGAGAGAGCAAGCACCATGCATTTGCCCTGCTTTCTCTGTACGAGGCTTTCAGTGGCAGCCCCAGCCTGGAGGACTCATGTCTCTCAGACTGGATGAGCAGAGTGGGACATGATACAGGAGAGACAGCAGCAAATTCACTGCTAAACCCAGCTCCTCTCAAGGAATTGGTCCTATTTCCCCCGCAGCATGTTTAGCTTCTAATGACTCTGCTAACTTGGCCCACTTCAACAAAATGTCATCAGATTATCATGGTTTCCACATCTGGATAGGAAAAATGTTCTTTTAATAGCGTTCTGCTACAAAACCTCCCCACATTTACCCTCCACCCCCACGTTATGCCCTATGTATTTCCCTTACCTGCAATTCTCTTGACTGAGGAAGCTTTCCTGGCAGGCAGGTGAAGGCACTTGGTCATTCCTCCCCCCACACCACTAAGCTGCACAATGGGCCTGCCCATTGGTAAGAAGGAACCCTCAAAGATGCTGTTGAAAAGGGCAGACAGGAAGCAGTAAAAGCTGACCAGACCAAAGATGAGAGTGGCAGCAATGTCATAGCCAGCTGGAAGAGCATGGATGGCATCCAGCAAGAAGCTGATAGCGATGAGCAAGAAAGTGAGGGAGTAAAAGAACCAGGCGATGTTTAAGAAGAGTGTGCAGAAGACAATGAAGCCATTGAAGAGCATGAAAGCAATGATGCCTACCGCTGCATGGAAGCTTCTGGTAGTGCCATAGAGGCCACCATATCTCGTCAAGCCCCAGATGATCCACATGACAGCATAGAGAATGAAGGCAGTGCTCTCCAGGGTTTTACCCCGGGCAAAGGCCACCGAGCCACTTAGAAGCTTAAGGAACCCACCAGCTACCACTACCCATGGAATTACAACAGTAGCAAGTGGAGCCTGGGGGTCCCCTGTCATTGTTACAGCAAAAGAAGCGAGGACACTGCATGCATAGCCAAGTGCTTCTGCATCTGCATACTTGGAATACCCTAGGTAGGGAGTGTGAAGGTCTGCCCCTTCACGAAGCTTCAGAAAACTGCTGCGGGCAAGTAGGGCCTTCATAGTACCCTTCCCTGTTGGGATCTTGGCACTTGCTTTCACATTGTACAGGTGAATTAGAGTCATCAAGGCTGAGGCCACAAAGATGGCCACATCCACACCTTGGGGTCCACCTTCAAAAAATCCCTTGGGACAGCAAGCTAATGCAATGCAGTAGGCCACATAAAACAGCAAATACAGGCCATCCACTGGGCTCTTAAGAGTGAGAAAAAGAGCCAAGACAACAAAAAGAATTGAGAAAACCACCAGGAATGGAGTGGGGAAAGCGGCCTCCTCTGGCTGCCAGATTGGGTACAGAAGGCAATAGCCTCCAGCAAATTTCAGGATGGAAGTGAAACCAAAGAACGTAGCCATTAGTACATCCATTGCACGGTATGATAAAATGCAGATGCCAATCTGGTAGATCCCAGCTGCCCACAGCCAGGGCACCTGACCAATAAATAGTTTGCCAGTGACACCCAGGAGCCTACAGCCAAAGACACTGGCAGACAGCATGTTCAGGATCAGCCCGGTGACTGCAAAGTGATTCATGCTGCCACTGGTGGACTGGATCTGTTCATGGGTCTTTTTCCTGGCCAGATCTGTGCCAGGGAGGGCAATTTTCTCTTTGGTTAGGAAATAAAGAATCCTTCCCAGAGCAAAATAACCACCGACCAAGCAGACAACCATATAATTGCAAGCCACAGCAGAGGAACCAAAAGCTGTGCTGTAACGCATGGCAACTTCATGAGCACTGGCAAGCGAGACAGCAGAAGCAACCATAGCTAGGACGACCTCTCTGCAAAGGAAGCCCACCACTGCAATAATGAGTAGTGCCAAAGTGAATGTGACCAGGCCAGGCACCAAGGCATTGCGGAAATCACCAGTGTCGTTCAAAACTCCTTGCCCTCCCAGGATGAAGACCACTCCATAGCCGCACCAGAACACTGAGATGGTCAGGCAGAGAGACAAGAACAGGGAGGCATTCCTTAGGCTTCTCCGAATTCCTGTGAAACAAATGACAATAGAGACAGAACCGTGATTTCGAGACAGTAGGTTATGGAAAGCAGTAGTTAGGACAGGCAGCTGAGCTATAGGCGCATGGTGCGTTGGAAGCACGATCGCTATGCTAGCACGGAGCTGCACAGGTCCTGCATGATGCTAGACAAAGCTGTCACGAGTTTGGGTAGGTCTGCATCATGCCCCGTTACACTGTGTAGACACGACCGTAAAGACTCCATCAGCACAACACTTGGCGTGCATCAGAATGTCTGAGCTGAGCTCAGAGTACTTGAGTTCCTTCTGCTAAGTACTGTACCAGGCCTGGCAGGCAGTTTGCCCTAACGAAGTCAAGGTTCAGCAAGCCATTGTCTTATCTTCCTCATGAGGCCTACAAGACTCAGTAAGACCGTAATATATTAATGAAAATCAAGTCTTGGGTTGCCTGGTGGTTTGTTTTGTTCCCGTTGTAAGCTGTCAGGTCCAATATTTGAACCACAAGTGTCATACAACCTGCTGTATCCCCATAAATAATTGGGCCTTCTCAGAAGACAGAAGTATAGGAATTGCAGAACTCATTCCTTCTCAAGAACTATCCTGTTCGGTACCCTGACCCCCAAAATGACAAAGACCTTGATTTAAAATACTTCGAGTTGAATGGAACCCACATACTACCCCCAAACAATATCACAAAGTACCTTATTTTTACTGCCATGCTTTCTCACCTCATGATGTGAGGATATTGATCACCATGGATAGACCTGAAAGCTTCCTTCCAATCTGGAGCTTTGGAATGAACCTATGCTTCATTTCTTCCCCAAACTGATACAACTTTGTGAGCCAGACTCAAGTTGGGACGGGAAGCAAGAGCTCTGCTGAATGAGTCCCCAAGCTACAGAGAACTGTAATCGCACAAGTATGCACGTCTTGGAACAAGGGAGCACAGAAATTCCTGCCCTTGGTAGGAGGCTGTTGATTCCCACCAACTGTGAAACATCACCTGCCCGGTGGTCCATTCCATACGGTCCCATCAGTACAGCTGCTTCTAAGTGCTTTCTACTAATGCTTTGTGCCACCACTGACTGAGAGAAGAGGTGGACCTAGGTTTTATGGGTTAAAATATGTAGCGTCTGTCCCAAGCTGTCTGCTTTGTAGAGGAAAAAATAGCATCAAATCGTGGATTTTCACGTCCTCATTGCCCTGAGTTAAAAAGGAGAAATAACAGCATTGATTCTAAAAAGGGTGGACTTTGTTATAGCCAGTGATTTTTTTCTCTCAGATAAGTAGATCTCTTGGCATTTACACATCGACATGCCATTTCAGTCCACGGGTGCCTAAAGTACAATCAGAAAGCCTGGGAACCGTTTTTAGAGAAATCATGTATTCAGTCTCTTAAAACTCTCAGAGACCCTGGTAAAGCATTTGTTCAGAACTCACATTGATTTCTTTGGTTGCCTATATAGGAAAAATTTGCTGTGCTGACACGCTCCTCCAGGAGAACGAATCAGTGCTCTGGCAAGGCTGCCACGGTTTGCATAAACCTGTTGGCAAAGCAGACCGACTACACGCAAAGCTATAGAAGGGGGAGGCCTTGAAGCCGGCCACCCTCCGAGTCTTACCTGCATACGCCAAAAGAGACGATAAAATCAACAGAAGGACTCCCAGAGCTGTGCTGGGGAGCAGAGGGGCTGCTCTGGGCAAACTGTAGAAATGCACCGCCAGTAAGAGTGATCCTGTGTGTGACAAGGGAGGCGGAAAAAAAGAAAGAGCTTGTAAACTTTGCCCGAAAAACCAGGAGAGAACCAGAGTGCAAGAGCAGGGCATAGGGAAAAAAATAGCAGTACAAGATCTGAAAATAGTGAGATCTAAGGAGCTGCGGGGGTGTGTTCTAACTTGGTTTGTGTCCATGGTCTCAACTCTTTCTGGGTGCCTAGTTTTAAGAAACTTGAACTTAATCGTGTTTGAAAGTGCTCCCCCGTTGCCAGAGAAGGGTAAAAATCAGCTCTCCGATTCCAGTTACACAAAAGGCGGACAGACGCACGCACGCTCTAGAGCTGATCACATAAGCCTTGTGCCCACAGAAAACTAGGCTAGAAATGAAGAGGGGCCGCACTCAGAGAGACGAAACGCAGCGAAGGAGCAAATGAAAGGGAGTGAACACAGAAAACAGAGCTGCAGGGAAAACGGCTAGGAAAGGAAAAGAAAGTGCATCCAAATAAAGATCATTTATGAAAATGACTACCAAAAAATTTTGATTTGCTTCCCACCCAGGATGGATCGAGTACAAAAGTTCAGGCCAGCACTTTAAAGCCAAGACAAATATTTTGTTGGCTGCTGTAATAGGCACAGGGATCTCTGGATCTAGCAGCTTTACCCAGGCAGAGAAGATTCAGAATAAGCAGACGCTTTAGCCCCCTTGGAGAAGGGGGTTGTCCATGAAAGCTAGTCCCAACCCCATCTTCCCGTGCCAAGAAGACTCGATCCCTACCTGCGGAAATGCCCAAGAGCCCTATGGAGGAATGCAGTGACTCAGCTTTTCTGTCTGCCATCGCAGAGTCCGCTGAAGACCCAGGTGCGGGCTGAAATGCTGCCTCTCTTTCCTCCCTAGCTCTTTATAACCAAACCAACTCCACTGGCCTGCGATCCTCCCTTCCCTACAAACATCTTCTGTTAGTGTTCCTTTCTGCATGCGGGAGGAAATGCAAACGAGTTCCTTGCTGCAATAAATTTCAGTCTGTGAGTCAGCATGGGCTGCTGGTAGCTCCCTCCAGGGGCCTGTTAATTTTACTGTTGATTAACCCTTGTTAAAAAAGACACTTGAAAAATAACGCTGAGGGTTTATTACTATGACTGCCTTTTTGCTACTGCCAGTGAGGAAATTACACCGGTTAAAATTAAGTTTTTTTTAAAGAACCCATCTTGCTGGAGCAAACAAGTACTTTGCAAGCCCGGGAGCTCCTTGGGGACGAGTTATTTCTCCTAACACTGGCCACGGTCCTGCTGTTTGTCCCTGTCACAGCTATGAATGCCTGGCACCACTGTCCTGTGCTGGGCAAACCCAGGGCAGATTCAGCGCCATTCCCTCAAAGGTGACTTCTGTCCGTGTGTCACTCCACACCTACCTAACCCAGCCCCTCTGCGCACGCCCACGGGGAGCTCCTCCTGAGCCCTTTTCACGAGTGAGGTGTCAATGCAAACGTGCAGCCTGGAGACCATAGAATCATAGAATCATAGAATCGTTTAGGTTGGAAAAGACCTTTAAGATCATCCAGTCCAACCATTAACCTACACTACCAAGTCTACTCTAAGCCAATCAAGGGTAGACTAGACTAAACCATGTCCCCAAGTGCCACATCTACCCGTTTTTTGAACCCCTCCAGGGATGGGGACTCCCCCACCTCTCTGGGCAGCCTGTTCCAATGCTTGACCACCCTTTCCGTAAAGAAATTTTTCCTAATTTCCAACCTAAACCTCCCCTGGCGCAGCTTAAGCCCATTTCCTCTCGTCCTATCGCTAACCATCAGTGCGAGGATAAATCCAGAGGAGCCTTGCTGGCTTTCCAGGAGAACTGTGCGGGCAGTGAGTACCAGTCATTGCCATGATCGCTGGTGTATCCCAAAGGCAATGTGAAGGACCTGTTCACAGCTTCCTACTGCTTCCCACGGAGAACATGTGATAGGGTCATAAAGGTCTTTACCTATGGAGGAGAGGCTGCAGAAAGCAGCAGACACTGGCTTCGGGATCATGTTGGATCACACGTCAAGCGGGAATTAGGCAGAGAACTGTTCTGTGAGAGCTAACAGAGCTTTGATGGAAAACAGGGACAACACTTGCCTCCACTTACATATGTTCCTCCATCATTCTGGCTGTGTGCAATGGACCGGTGTAGCGCCTACTCCTGTGAAGGACTCGGCTCCTGTTCCCTTCAGCCCCAATTAAAGCAAATTCCACTCTCAGCCTCTTGACAAGATAAAAGATGCAGAAGAGTGTAAAGAGCTTCACGCTAATATTACTGAGCTGGTCAGGGATGACTCTGCAGAGGCCCTACAGCAGCAAGCTGCGATGTTCCTCTTGGCACCTCCTGCTCTATGTTCCCCCGTAAGTCATGCTCCACAGCCAGGGCTGGAGGACAGAAAAGCTGTTGGAAAGGGGACTTAAAACTGCACAGACTGGAGCTCCAAGACGGGCCTCCGGGATCATCCAAGACGCATTAGATCTGTAGCAGCATCTAGAACAACCCCAGACTGTCAGGGTCCACAGATAACGTCAAAAGACCCTGCTCGTCCCGCTCTCTGAGCCAGCTGGAGCATGATGACATGCTTCCATTGCACAGCTGGGTCCCTATAATGGCTCCCAAACTTTCCTGGTTTCCTCAGTGCTTTGGAGGACAGTTATCTTTAACTGCATTCACCTTCAAGAAGAGCTTTGAAGCAACAGGGTTCCTTCACACTCCTCTTCGCTAGAATATTAATGCAGATTAAAGCAAGGTGTTCATATTAAAGCCCAATATCTCTACCTTAATAAATGTGTGCAAACATTCCCACACAGAATGGAGCAACTCAGCTGAAAAGTGTTATTTATCAAGAATACGTTTATTGCAGATAGGTCTTTAGGTTCAATATGTCTTTTGAGATAGATCTTATTACCTGAGGAAGCAGCATTGGAACTAGCCTGGTTTCTCCAGTTACACCTAACCAGTTATACCAGTAAGGGGAACCGGCTCGGTTTGCAACAGGCAGAGCTAAATGCTGTAGTTTGCAGCAAGCAGTAAGTTTGTTTAAATCATCAGCCCCTGGCTACCTTTGTTCCATCATGACCAGGACCGCTCTCTAACCAGCTGAAGGAGGAAGAAACTATCTGTTCAAGTTTCAGCATGATTCAGCTGTTTTCTCTTGCAAGAGGCAATAATACATTTCTAAGCCACAGTTAGAATATCTTAGATACCAAAACAGCAGCAGTGAAAAGGCTTTGGGTATTTTCCACACGTATCTCGCAGTTTAATTCCTGTTCTGGGTAATAAAAGTAACTGAAAGGAAAAGCCTGTGTTAGATTAGCTGGACTGCAAGTCCTTTCTCATGTGCTTTTTGTTGCTGCTTCTATAGGTAGCAGCTGGGAGTATGTGGTGCTTGATATCACTAGTTTTAAGAGATGCATGCAATGAATGAAGTGACATGCATTAGCAACGAGTATCTTCTTCATGCCTGCTGTGACTAATGAACTTGCCGAAACACTATTTCATTATACACAAGATGTACTTCATGTGTCTTCCAAATATGATCGAGACCCAAGGAAAATTTCGTATAAATAACCCCTGAAAAACATTCTTCAACCATGTCGCATGAAGTTTTTTGCTCTCTGAAGAATAGCGAGACAGCCTCAACAGGCTATAGTTATTTCAACAGCGCAATGTTCCAATAGAGAGGTACATAATCATCTCAGGTGCGAGCGCATCAAGAAGGGAGGATAAGCGTCTGCAAGAGAGTTTCCCCGTCACAGGCTGTGAATCCTGCTGCCGTGTGCCCCTGCAGAGGTCAGGGCTCTGCCGATTCCCGGTACCACTTTCCTGGCAACCGGAGAGACCGTGCTGTTGGTGAAGAATCAAGTTATTAATTTCTAACCTCGGGACCCAAAGGCCAGGAAACAACTGCAAAGCGAATGCAAAACGTCTGCTCTTGAGAGATGGGATATGAGGATAAGAACGTTTAAGGTCAGAAAAGGAAATCTTGGTGTTAAAAGACTGAGGCTGCCTATGCAGTGTAGGGTTTAAAAAAACGGGGCACAGAGGGGAATGCACTGGCTTGAATACTTGCTCCGGGAGGGCTCCCTTTGATACCATCTTATGCACAAAGACTTTGGGACTTTGGCCTGAAATAGAATGGAAAATCGACAGCTGAGAAGGAAAAACACGTCAGCTGGGGATGCTTTGGAGACAACGTGCTGGGAAGATCTGCAAGGGAGCCGTTAGTTGAGGAAACAAATAATATTTACATGCCCTGCCTGTGGCACTGGAAATAAAACCTTCCTGCCAGTAAGAAATTCAGCCCAACCCTCCCGGCCACACCTGCTCCTGGGGGAGGGATCGCGCTATAAAAGACTCCAGGCAGCGAACAGAGATGCACAGCAATTTGGGGCTCTCCAGGGAATCCTCCTGCTCCGTGTGTGACCATGGGAAAGAGAGTGGCTGTCGTGCTGGCTGGCTGTGGGGTGTACGACGGGAGCGAGATCCATGAGGCTTCTGCTGTGCTGGTGCATCTCAGCAGGGAGGGGGCACAGGTAAGAGGCACCCCGGCAGGCTCCTGCCCCACCTCTGGCTCCTTCTGCCCTGCTCTGCTTTTCAATCTCGCTCTCTTGCAGAAAGTTCTTGTCTCTAAGGAGCTTTGCAGCTTGCCGGACAAATCGCAGGCTCCCCATTGCTGCTAGGGGAATTGCAAAGCGTAAGTGACTGGAGTCAAAGCAAACGGCACGGTGTAGGAGCTGCTACAACGAGCGTGGAGAACTCCCTGGTCTCTGCTTCGCTCTCACAGCTTTGCTGTACGAGAGGATTGGCTTGGTGCTCTGTGTTGAGTGGATCCAAACTCTGAAACAAACTTTCCTAAATGCATTCTCTATTCTTTTTGGCTCGCACTTCCTCCTTTCTGCTTTGGTATTTCTGTTTAAAGACTGCTATTGTTTTGGGCTGTTGGAAATTCATCTTTTTAAACCCCCGAAGATTAGAACTGAAAATAGACAAGTTTTTGTGAGTCGAACTTGAATAGGGGTAAAAAAGGAGACCCTCAAGCGGCACTCTAATATGCCATTAGTCACGATAGCCACCCTGCGAGACTGGGAGAGGAGGGAGAGAAGCCCTGCGTAACGTTACCCTCAGCTCTGAGCCACCCACAAAGCTGGGTCAGAGCCGTTCTCCTGGGAATCGGAATTGCTCTATTAAATACAAAGGCACAGTGGTGATGTACGTGTGCTGCAGAGCCAGCCCACCCAATTCCAAAGCCTTCAAAGTGCCTGTTCTCTGGCTTAAAGCTGAGACTTGTACAAACCTTTTCTCCACTGTCTATAATTTTGCTGCTGCTTCTCGCCTGGAGCTGCTGCAGTCGCTTCCCTCCTGCCATAACCTGAATTGGCAGGCTCGGAGCACCGTCCTGCACTCATCCCTTGATCGGCAAGGACCTCTACTGGAGGAAACTCAGGCGTTATTTCAACCCCCTCCCTTTATTTTTCAGTCATGCTTGCCTAAGGAAACAAAAAGTAGAATAGAGTAGAATAGAATTAGAATAGAATAGAATTAGAATAGAATAGAATAGAATAGAATAGAATAGACTATTTCAGTTGGAAGGGTTCTACAACGACCATCTAGGCCAACTGCCTGACGAATTCAGGGCTGACCGAGTTAAAACACGTTCTTAAGGGCATTGTCCAAATGCCTCTTAAACACTGACAGGCTTGGGGCATCGACCAGCTCTCTAGGAAGCCTGTTCCAGTGTTTGACCACCCTCTCAGGAAAGAAATGCTTCCTAATATCCAGTCTAAACCTCCCCTGGTGCAGCTTTGAGCCATTCCCATGCACCCTGTCCCTGGATCCCAGGGAGAAGAGCTCAGCACCTCCCTCTCCACGTCCCCTCCTCTGGAAGCTGCAGAGAGCAATGAGGTCGCCCCTCAGCCTCCTTTTCTCCAAACCAGACAAGCCCAGAGTCCTCAGCAGACATGCCTTCCAGCCCTGTCACCAGCTTTGTTGCCCTCCCCGGGATGCCTTCGAGTACCTTCACATCCTTCTTAAATGGATGGAGCCCAGAGCTGCCAAGCTTGTACAGTCCCCAAATCTATCGCCCATCTGTTTGCCATCCTCCACTCTTAATTACTGCATGTGAGCTTGAAACAGTTCTGAAGGAAGGGGAGGCATTTTCCAGAAAGAGAAATACTCTGGCTTTGGGAAAACAGTGGCTGAGGAGAAGAAACTCCAAGTGCTGTCTTTGAGGGGGGCACGTGGTTTGACAGCAGCTCGCTGGGCAGCCAGCCCCCGCCAGGGATGGCTGGCTTTGTGGGGGCAGCTGGGGCGGGGGTCTGCCCCGGTGAAGGTGGTTGCTTGGGATGCAGATGGAAACCTCTAAGAAATGGCTTCCCCAATGGCTCTTGGGACACCTCCTTTTCCTAGGAAGGAAAGGAGTCACTGCTCCCTCTCCAGCACTGCAGGCCCCAAAACAAGCAGCGTGGGCTAGCTGCTTTGCTTTCAGCTAACAACACCCCCACTCCTTTAAGGTCAGGGTAAATGCTCCTGTGCAGAAGCTACAAAAGACCTTCCTTTCTTTCTCCCCCCTATGACAATAACTTTTCTGCTGCCAGTATCAGATACAGGTGAGCCTGAAGGTCACTGCATTCACCAGCAAAATTCCTTCCTAACAAAGTAACTCGAGCACTTTCATTCACTACCTATGACCTTTAACGTGCTTAGGATACATGACTGAAGGATAATAGACCTTTCCCCTCCCTCCCCAGGCCGAGGTTTATGCTCCTGATGTTGACCAGATGCATGTGGTGGACCACGTGAAGGGACAGCCAACTCAGGAGAAGCGCAACGTGCTAGTTGAAAGTGCCCGAATAGCCAGAGGCAACATCAAGGACCTAGCGAAGCTGGATGTCAAGGGGCTGGATGCCGTAATCATACCAGGTAGGACGGCATGCAGGGTCTGCACGCCCAAAGTCTTGCGAACAGCCTAGATATGCCGTAAGCCTTGAACGACATGGGAGTCATGGGCTGGAGAAGAACTGGGCAGAGCCACTGGGGAAGCAGACAGGCTGGAAGTGGGAGTGGGAGGATCTTCCATCTGTGCTGGCACTGGCATGCTAGCTTGGACTTAAATTAAAAGAGAACATGGTAATGCAGAAGCTTATCCCAAGAGGAGAGGGCAGAAAACTGCCGATTGAATTATCCTCTGTACCACCTACCGAGCTTTTTTTCTTACTGGATGTAAAACCAACCCCTCCCTCACCAACATGCCAACCTCCTTATCAGGAGAGGAAGAGCCTGGGACAGAGAGGGCGTGACTCAAAAGCGGAAAGCTGGGTCAGCCTGGCAATTCAGCTTTAGTGAAAGTACGAGCACGTGGTTTCGGTGGGGATGGATTAGGCCTGGAGCAAGGATTAAGAGACAAGTGAAAACTTGCCAGCACATTCCACCATAAGTCAGAAAAGAGCTCATGGGTGAAACACAGTACCCAACGGAGCATCGACACCTCCCCGCTTCAGTTCCGTATGGAAGCAAGAAAGGTGCTTTGATGTCTCATCTCCTGGCAGTCAGCTCACAAAGGCTCAGCTTGTCTGTCTTTAATTCTTTTATCAACATTGGACAAATGCTGCCATCCACCAAATCCATTTTAGCATTCTACTAAGTAATACCTGAAAAATTCCTGCCCTGGAGCACTAATCTTCCGGTCTAATTTGTTTCTCTTTTCTCAGGTGGCTTTGGAGTGGCTAAAAACCTGAGTACTTGGGCCACCCAAGGCAAGAACTGCACCGTCTCCAAAGAGGTGGAGGACATCCTGAAGGCATTCCACGCTGCCAAAAAGCCCATTGGCCTGTGCTGCATTTCCCCCGTTCTGGCAGCCAAAATCTTCCCAGGTTGCGAGCTGACTGTGGGTCACGACACACCGTGTGACAAGTGAGTAACCTTGGAGTGCTGACATTTAGTAACCAGGGCCCTGCTGAAGACTTAACAGTTAATAGTTGAAACTCTTCAAGTGTCTGGAAGAGCTGTTTTGTGATTTGTCAGCAGATCAGAGGGCACGCTGTACCAGCGGATTTGTTTGGTTTTTTGTATACTTCTTTCCACAACTCTGACGGCTTAGAATAAGACACTTTATTTTAAATACAATCTTATATTTGCCTCCCCAATGTACGTAGCACCCTGCCTCATGCACCTCTTGTTCCCAGGGTAGGAGAAGGCAGCAGAGCACTGACTCCTAAAGTTAAGCAGATCCTAGGTAGGAAGAGGATGGTTGCCCAAGACTTGGCAGTGTGAAGAGAGGGAGGGAGTTAAACTGTCCTTACTCATATGAGAAAGCTGTGACTGAGTTCTCCCAATGGCAGGGAAGGAACTACGATGGCTCTTGCTAGGAAGGGCTAGGAAGTAATGTCACTTGTAGGAAGCTGGTGAAAAAAAAAAAACCAAACCTTAACACAAAGTCTGGAGCAGGTAGAGTTAAGCAGTGGAACATCTATAGTGGAACATCATGGTCTTATTTTGGCTTTACTGCAGATTTTTAGCTCACTGTAATCTGGAGGTTTTACTGGTTCTATAGTCCTGGAGAAACTCCTCTGACAGGAAAAGATTTGGATCCTATTGAGAAGACTTTCTGTAGGGACCATCCATCTCTCTGTAATCAACAGACTTCTCACCCCAGGCCTCCGTCAAGTCGCTCTGTGTAATGACGCCTTCCCCACACAGGGTTTATTCTCTTCTCTTCTTGTAGATGGCCTTACGCGAACACTGCTGAGACCATGAAGGAGCTTGGTTGCAAGCACGTGAACAAACACGTCACTGAAATTCACGTGGATGCGAAGAACAAGCTGGTGACCACCAGCGCCTTCATGTGCAATGCCCCCATTCATGAGATCTACGATGGCATCGGAAAGATGGTCAAAGAAGTGGTCAGGCTTGCCTGAATGCCACAAAGCCACAGAATCCACCTCCTCTGGAGCGCAGGCACTGATCCTCGGATAACGTTTTTCCCTTTTTCACACCCGCATGTCAACAGGCAAACCGCTACTCAAATGGAGTTCTTCCCCCCCACCCGACCACTGGTGGCTGCTGAGGAGGAAGAACTCTGGAGCAATGGAAGCGCTGCCGTGTCCTGCTAAGGACACACCACTTACTGACAGCACCCTCGCAGTAATTGGGAGTGTGGGCACGCATTGAGCTAGCATGCAGAAGCCAGGTTTCCACGGGGCTCAAATACAGCCGCCGTCTTTGGTTCCGAGTGGCTGAGGAGTTGCCTGGGTCATGTCAGCCATGACTGGGCTGGCCTGACATGTCCGTATCCTGTGTCAACGGGAATTGGTCCCTTCCTGAGATTCCTTACACATCCGTGTCTGCCAGTACTTCAAAGCTCCCCACGTACCTCACAGAACAGAGGAATTAGTGGCAAAAGGAAGGAATGCGGTTCTGCTACTGAATAAAACCTGACACTTTTTACATGGGCTGAGTTCTGCTTTCATTTTTGCCTTTTACTCTGGATTAGGAGATGCTTTTAGTGCTACTGGTTGGCCAATGAGTGGGGAAAGCGGTACGGGAAGAAGTCACCAGCAACAAACCCCACTTGTTTTGCTAGGAATTGTCAGAACCCAGACTTGGGCGTGAATATGAGATGGGTGAAAGCAGAACCAAACCAATGTTAGCATCCAGGTCTAATGCGAAGAGGTTAAATTCTTCCCTTGTATTAAGAGCAGACCTGCTATGATAGCATGGAACACTTTGGGAGCAGCCTTCCGTACTGCTCCTAGGCAGAAAGAGTCCAGGGTGAAGTCTAGGCATCCCAGAGAAAGCGGTGCAATTTCCAGTCCCTTCCAGCCTCCAGGAAAATTCCTAGAAAGAACCTGGAAGCAACAACCCTGCATTGCAACAGGGACAGACAAAACACCCATCTAGCCGAAACCTGAAGGGCAAGCTGTGAACCGGCTGGGCGAGAGCAAAGTCTGGCTGGCAGAAGGCACTAAAAATAACGCAGCATCAGGCACGGCTGTTCAGATAACAGGCCAGGCGCGGGTTTTTAAGGCCAGAGGGAACCATTTGTCCGTGTAATCGGACCACGCTGCAGGAGCTGTAAAGAGCACAGCAACTTACCGCTGGGCTGAAGCAAGCCTGCTGAGAGGATTCAGTCTTGGCCTGCAGACACTGCTGTAGTATTTGATAGCTCATCCTCACAGTTAACCAACGTCATTTAAGATAAGACCTGTTTTTCACTTCTCTGCTATAGCTGAAGAGCTTACTTCCAGCCCCTGGTTGCTGACAGGTTTGTCTCCATCAGGTTCAAGAGCTTTCTAGATGGTAGCTGGTATGTTCCTCCTATATGGGTTCTTATTATACAGGTAGGATCATATAATCATTACAGACTGAGCTGCTGAATTCTCTGAGCGTTAGACACGTTTTCTAAGCCCACAACTGTTTTCTGAGGCTCTTCTCAGCGAACTCCTCAGGCTTTTTACATCCTTTTCAAAACACCGGCATATTTTTGCACTCTCACCAACATGGTGAGACCCTTCGCGACGACACTGGTGACCAGAGCGGGAAGAAATTTGCCCACGTGCCGCAGTGGTGCTGCAAAGAGGGGTTCAAGCACATCTGGCAGTGACAGAACAGCCCAGAGGAGCACGATACAGCAATTCTACCCAGGTTTCTAATGAAAATGTAGCTTATCTGGTCACTCTTTTCTGTCTTACTTTTTCCCACTGATTCTCCTACCAATCATTTTCACCCCTTTGGCCACCTTATATAACCTTTTGCAAAGGTGTGAAAGCCTCCAAGAAATAAAGGACCATAAGATTTTGGGACAGTAGCTGCCAGGAAGAGGAGGGCAATGTTTGCTAGCACAAAAAGTCCACTGTTCCCTTGGTCCTTCGACAATCCCTTGCAGAGAACTGTGGCGAGTATCCCACCGCAGAGCAACACTCAGCCTGAATTAGCATTTAATTAGGATGGAAGCACAAATCCCTGGGAGACCAGGCCTCAGAGCTGCAGCGTTTTCTCCCATACTGTTGCTTCTGAAGCGGAATCCACACCTTAAGCCGTTCATTACCTTACAGAAAGTAATTGTTCCCAAGCCCTTGAACTCTCATTTTTTGCACAATGCAGGTGTTCAGGAAAGGTACAGAAGTTCCTGCTATAAGCGCTAACTTTTGAGAGTTATACAGGTTTTTCTGATATTAAGAGTGTTTTGACTAACTTATCAGACAGGCTGAAAAGCTGCGGGATGTAAATACAATAGGGAGAATTCCACGGTCTGACTGAACAATTTGAATTAATCTCTAACTTTAGATCCAACCCACACAGACACAAAGCTAGTAACAACCCTGTTTGCTGGGATGCAGAAGATTGCTTCCACTAGCGGAGCAGGAAAAATCAACCCCAAAGATGAAACATTAACAGTATTTTGGTGTGTTTAGACACCCAAGAAAAGCAACAAATAAGAAATAAGGAAGCTGGAGAAAAGTGATGATGTAACTAGGTGTTTATATGGGAATGGGAGGAAAAAAGAAAATCCTGCAGTTATGGGTCAGCCAGCGTCAGCATCCGCAGGAACTCCTGTTTGTCCACTTCCCCATCTCCATCCACATCTGCTTCATCAATCATCTCCTGTGGGATAGCAAAGATTTGGAGGCCAGGTCAGGTTGGATCTGAGAGGACGGACGCTCGCAAAGTGCAAACGCCAGTGAGGGTCTCGGGCAAGGCCCATGCGAGACAGAGATGGTGTCCGTCGCAAAGGCACACAGCGCAATCCCCCAACCAGCCTTCCCCGCAGTAAGACGCTCCCGTTCCCTCCCCGAGCAGAGCACGAGAGGAAAACGTTTGTGCTTCACAAACCTGCAGCTCCTCATCCGTGATGTCTTCCCCCACCTCGCTAGCCACCACCTTGAGATTCTCAAAGGAGATCTTGCCCGTGCCATCACAATCAAACACCTTGAAAGCTTCCCGGATCTCCTTTTCCAAACATGGCTCCGCCTTAGCAAGGAAATGAAAAATGCCATTGTGTAAACATGACATCATACCCCCCTACAATCCCCAGTCAGGCACTTTAGCCGGCAAACATTTGCAATCAAATTCAAGACATCATTTTAGGGACAACCTGGCCATAGAAGAGCGTTGTCTACCGCTGCTGTCTCACCTTTGCCTTTCCCCACCCCGTAGAACTGCGATTTAAAGGAAGAGCTCCAAGAGGAGTTGTCTGAGCAGCATGGGGACTTGGCCTGGAATATCCCGGCCAAGCTTTGTCAGGGAGAGGGGGACTAGCACTACTGCTGGAGGAGGAAGCAGCTGCCAAAAATGATCCAACGGCTACAGCTTTATTTTATTTCAAAAGTGAGCCAGGCCAATGCTGGCTCTTACTGCCCTTACCTCAGGCACAGGCCTGCAGCTGGGTGCAGGCTTTGACTGAACTAGAGGGGAAAACGGGGGAATCTTCACTGCCCTCCTAGCACACATCCCGCGCATACACACCCTGGCAACTGCGACCGCATTGCCGCCACGCCAGCTACGCCCCAGCCACCTCCCAGGCATCCCACAAAGCCCTGCAAGGAAATCGGGAGGATGGGAGAGGCAGAAGCAGGCGAGCTGGTGCTCTCTGAGAACGGCCTAGGTTTGCACGCAGGGGATACAGAGGTTTTTGAGCCGCAGGAATCTCAGACAGGCGATGAGGACGAGGGGACATGAAGAGCTGGTATGGAACAACAGCTCTTCAGACACCGCGTGAGCTTGAGTGGCTGTTGCCTGCAGGAGGTGCTGACAGTGTCAGTGGGTATTGAGGAATGATTTCACTACAGATGGCAAATTGCGCGTCTGACGTATGACATTTGCTCACCGCTGTCTTGAACTGAAGATAAATAGCCCTGCGACTGTAAAGACAGAACTGAAATTTCAAGTGGAAAGGTTTAAGGAAGGGAAGTGGGGGCTCCGAGGTGCTGTGTACGCTCAGGGCTCTCTGGGATGGGAAGGAGATTTCTGCTGAGATGCAGCCACCTCTATCTGCGCTGGCCATCCTGCTCCCTCTACAGTTCATGGAAAGAGGCAGGAGGGGTAAGGACTATCCACCCGAATAGTAGATTTAGTAGATCTCTAAAATAGCTCAGCCGAGACTCCTGAAACACTCCTGTTTCTCCCCTGCAGGGAACCAGAGTGACCCAACCTACTGTGGCTACCAGCATCGTAAAGCTAGGCAAGCGGAATTTCACTCTTTGGGACCAGCTGGGCTCACATACCATCTTCCGAGCCATCACTTGCAGAAATGACTTAAAGGTTAGCTTCCCTGACCCTCCTTCACCGAATTCAGAGATGATTCTCTTCATCTCTTCTTTCCCCAACTCACAGCCCAGAGCCCTTACGGTTATCTGCCAAAAGAGAAAACAGACCAATGTCTTGGTGTACAAATCAAACAGAAACAAAGAGGGAAAGACGTGTGAAAGCACATGTGTGAAGCAGGTGCACGAAAGCGGTGAAAAAAACCACGCAACTTTTCATCAACAGCTCTTCACCCACCATTTTGTCTCTAGAGAACAGGGTTCTGTAGCGGTCTAAGATCAGTAGTACGAGGCTGTGAAAAATTAGCAGCAAAGAGCTGTCAGGAAGGGCCGGGAAGGAAGGCTGCGGTCCCTCCTAAGGACACCTGGCGACTCAGTTGGCACAACCCTTACACCCATGGCTGCGTACCGAGTCGGAGCGCAGGCAGCCAAGTCTGTTAGCACAGCAAGTGCTCCGAAAGCAATAGGTGGCAAACACCAGTTGCTCCGCCGCTGCTCCGCAGCAGCGCATATCAGGTGCTTGTAAATGATTAACCCCACTTCCAACATTTATGTTTACTGCCAGTCACTTCTGTTTGACTACAGTATTTAAGGTCCAAGTGCAACTGCGGTCACAAAGCAACCGTGTCATTTCCTGCAGCCTGAGGGGATCCGGGCTTCTGATCTGGGTTACTCAGGCTGTGCAAACACTTCCCGAGGAGCAGCGGACTGAACACCCTTCAGCTACACAAACCTGCAGTGCGTTTGTAAAGCCTGTTAGAGGACAGGGGGGTTGTGAAGAGAATTTTGCCTGCAAAACGTCATTCCTCCTCAACTTCTTGAGGACGGAAGACACTGTGAAGAAAGACAGGGTAGGGGACTCCTGAGATTTATTCCGCAGCACCACAGAAAAAGGACCTCAGCCCCTGACTGATCCGGGCTGAGTTCCATCAGCAGCGGAGCGATGACAAGCTCTACCCGCTGTTACGAACTCTCACTGCACGCACGGGAGTACAACAGCAACACAATTTGCCACACGCGAAATGGGTTATGAAGGATATGCTGCACATCTGTGCCTTCTTGTATGAAATTCTATGATTCTTCCAGGCCTGCCTAAACAAAAGTCCCCGCTGCACAGGTTAACGCTATCTCGGTGCACTGATGAAAACGTGACAGAGATTGGCAACCAGGGCAGGAGCGTACAAGGCCTCTGGATGAGAGAGAGTAACTTCACCTCCTAAAAGCTCAGCGACCAGAGGTTCTCATTCATAGAATCATGGAATGGTTTGGGTGGGAAGGGACCTTTAGGGATCATCCAGCCCAGCCCCTGCAGTGCCAGGGACAGCTTTAACCAGAGCAGGGTGCTCACAGCCCCGTCCAGCCTGGCCTGGGATGTTTCCGGGTCCACCGCCTCTCTGGGCAACCTGGGCCAGTGCTTCACCACCCTCAGTGTAAAAAATTTCTTTCTTATGTCTAGTCTAAATCTATTCTTCTTTAGTTTAAATCCATTATCCCTTGTTCTGTCACAACAGGCCCTGCTGTCATTCCTGACCGGGTTTTCCTCTCCGTAGCCCAGAGGCGCGTGAAAGCAGCAACGCAGCTGTGTGGGGCTTCACGGGGGGAAATGAGGGCAAGCGAGGAGTCCCAGACCCACTCAGCCTTTGTTTTCACCGGCACCCACGCCGCGTTTTTACAGCTCCTC